TAAGTACATAAGAGAAGCCAATGTTGGATCAGGCCAGTGGCCCATCCAGTCCAATACTCAAGAAGTGACCAAACAGGGAACAACGGTTTGGTTTAGAACAGGGGTCGCTTCCTGCCGGAGTGCGGCGGAGTGGTGCTCCGGCAGAAACAAGCCCAGGGCGTCCCCCCACCATTCCTGGCCCACCTGCACAAGCGGATGGGCCAGGGAAGCCCAGCACATACCCCCCCCCTTTCCTCTGAGCCGCTCCACTTCTGCAGAGAGACTCAGGGGAAGGGGGAGATTTAAATGCCTGGGTTCCCTGCCCGATGTTCTCTAGGTGCCCCGCAGCCATAGGGCACCTGGAGAACATCGGGCAGGGGACCCAGGCATGACTGCCTCCCTTGCCCTGCCCTCCCCCAGCCAACCCGCCGCGGCGGTCTAGATGGAGAAGGGGAAGGGAGGTGGACAGATATGCCCCCCCTTTCCCCTGAACCTCTCAAGATGGAAAATCCTGGGTTTTTGATTTAAAACTTTTTTAAAAACCTAGTTGGTCAGGCAGCCAGAGCCTGCACAGTGGCAGAAGCCCCACCCCCCAGCTTCCAGGAGCCCTCAGTTGGGCCAGGACAAGATGGGCAGGCATGCATGTGTGGCGTCTTCTTGCCACTGCAAGTTGGCTCATTTGGAGTGGGTGGGGCCCTGTGGTGTGCTCTGGGGTCGTGCACGGCAGGGACTCTTTTGGGGTGGGGTGGGGGCCAAGAGCGAGGTGCCAAAAAGTCCAGTTCTCATTCGAAGGTGGGCCAAAACGGGGGGGGGGATAGCTTAAGATACAATTGATGTATGAAGAGCTTCTGCAAACAATTCATGATTTTTAAAAAAGCAACCAAAAAAGTCCACTTTTCATCTGAAGGTGGGTCAAAACGGGGGGGGGGGGCTTAAAATACACCCAAAGAGGGAATTCATACGAGAACTCCTTATGGGCACTCCATGAAATTGCTGAGCGGTCGGGTTAGAACGGATAAAAGGAAGTACTTCTTCACCCAAAGAGTGATTAACACATGGAATTCACTGCCACAGGAGGAGGAGGTGGCTACAAGCATGGACGGCTTCAAGAGGGGATTAGATAAACATATGGAGCAGAAGTCCATCAGTGGCTATTAGCCACAAGGTAGGAACTCTCAGTCTGGGGTCAAGTGATGCACTGTATTCTTGGTGCCTGGGGGGGGGGGGCAACAGTAGGAGGGCTTCTGGTGTCCGAGCCCCAGTGGTGGACCTCCCGATAGCACCTGGTGTTTTTGGCCACTGTGTGACAGAGTGTTGGACTGGATGGACCATTACCCTGATCCTACACTGGCTTCTCTTATGTTATTACTAGCCCGCTACCCAGGCTTCACTACAGTATTGAAATCTGACATTTGTTGTAGAAATTCTAATGGAGAAGATTGTAGTGTAAGAAATAAAGTGAGACATTTCCCCGTTTTCTCTCCACTGAAGGACCTCTCCCTAGACCACATTGGTGGTTCTGCCCGCAGGTGCTAGGATCACCAGGCTGCTCTGGAGCAGGCCACATAGAACTGTCCATTTAAGAAGCAGTTGTCTTTTATGTCATCTCCTGCTACCTTCCACGAAAGTAATGGCCTCTCTACTTGTGTTCCTGGATGGTTTTGCTCATATGGAGACTGTGTTGTTCTGAGCACCATAAATAATAATGAATGTAAAGGAATGTTGTTAATTGAAATATAATTTCCTTTTGCGGGAGTGAGGTGGGAAAGGAAGAGCCTGTGATGAAGGGCAGCTGCCGCTACCTAGGCTAAACCTCCTCCACTGAGGCAGGCAGTGATGGCTGGTGTACTGCTGCGAGAGAGGAGGATCAGTGGACAGACAGGCACTACCCCCTCCCTCTCACTTTCTGAGGCATTAGTGGGCAGGGCTTCTTATTTAACACTGCACAGGTTCTGCTGCTCAGTTTATGCGGCAGAGATCCTCTGGTTTGACCTAAATTCTGTTGTGTTTGGCACTGATTGCCACAGTGGCACAGGTTCTGGGGGCCACATTGCGCTGGTTCTGCTGCGGCTGGCCTGGCAAACATGCTGCCCCCCCCCCGGTTTATACTGCAGAGATTCTCTGGTTTGACCTGGGTTTGGGCACTGACTGCCACAGGAGCACAGATTCTGGGGGCCAAAATGCACAGGTTTTGCCACTGGCCCGGCTGGCAAACCTGCCCTCTCAGTTTATCCTACAGAGATCCTCTGATCTGACCCGAGTCCAGTTGGGTTTGGGCACTGACTGCCACAGTGGCACTGGTTCTGGGGGGGGGGGTACACTGCACAGGTTCTGCTGCTGGCCTGTCAAACATGCCCCCTCACACCACCACCACACCTCACTTGCTTTCTTGCAGAGAGATTCTTGGGGAGACACTGCTGCCTGCCTTTTTCCTATCCCCATAGGAAACAATAGAGAATTGGGGTCACCCTCTTTGGATGCCCCTGGAATTGGACTCCCTGGTCCAATCTTTTCAAAACTTTGGGGGGTCTTTTGGGGAGAGGACCCAGCAGCTACAGTCCAAATTTCGTGCCTCTACCTCAAACCACCTCCCCAGAGCCCCCTGAAAACTTGTCAGAAGATTTTGCCCTTCACTACAATGGCCCCATAGGATATAATGGAGCCGAAGATTTTTGGGAATACTGAAAATTTTCAGGTATCAATAAAATACCGGTATTGTTACTCGGGGGTTGGTTTTTTTGGGAATCCCCCCCAAAAAACGGCCTTAATATACCCGAATCGGGAAAAAAACCATTTTTTTTTCTTGCCCACCCCTAATTGCAAAGTTACACGTAGGAAGCAGATTGTAATATAAAATACGTAATTAAACTTATACACTGGGTATGCAGACCAATTGGGCATGCCCCCTAAATACAATTTAACTGATATAAACAATAATATCTTTAATGAGCTGTGACTGTTCCTTAGCTGAGTTCTGTTTTCTCTGAGTCATAAAGAAACAATTAATCTAGGGATGCCAACTGCCTGGAGGGGAAAAGTGTGCCGTCCCTTTAACACAGGTCCCAGATATGCAAATTCCAGTAGTAGAAACACCATCAGAAATTGCCAAAATATAAACTGTATTTAACAAATATAAAGTTGGTGATGTCACAACAACAAAATTAGTGCATACTATAACTCTAATAAGGCATAAGATACAATGCTTCCTCCATAGAAGATAAGACATAAAGTCCATGTAATGAGATAGGAGGAGTCCACATACTCATAACGTTTTCCAAACAGCCTTTGCAAAGACGCCTGCTCTAGATACTTAAAAGATGTGTTTCCTTCAACTTCTTCAGTTTGCCGGCTGTGTAGGTGGAACTGTAAAGAGATTTACACAAATGCCTAACCCCAAAAACACATATGAAAAACAGATTTTTTAAAAAAAAAACATGCCTGAAACATACACTTACCTTGATTTCAACAAGTTCAACCGACCACAAAATTCATAGTGTAAAAAGAGAATCAGAGGTTCTCAAAAATACAGAGATGCATGCCAATTTAAAGCTCAACAGGGAAAAAAACAGGTGTACTCAATTTAGATTAGTCTCATTTAAAGGGCTCTATTCTTCTTAAATGAACATTTAATTAACACAGGCTTTACGGGATGCTGTTTATCTTTTCAGATACCCATTTCCACACACACTTAGCCTCTGGGAATGTGGGAGGATATTTCTTCCCTTTGGGCCTATTACCAAATCTAATGCAGATACCTTTCCAAAATAAAGTAGCACGATGGAAAGAGAATTTTCTCAGTTGGCGCCATTAAAGCACAATCTCAATGGAGGAATTCAAGGGGGGTCTGAAGAGGATGACGTGGGGAGCATACGCCTTGGCCCAGGGCTTAGTCCATGCACAGGTGGTGGCAGTGTTCAGAGCAGGAGGAGGGAATCATACTTCTCCCTCCTGATTCTCTCTACGAGAATCTGGGGGTGGGGAGGATAACTTGGATTGGGAAATTCATGCCAACAAGGTTCACCTGCCAACTCCATGGATTTCAACAATATTGGTTGTTTTCGGGGAGGTTTTTTTTGACCCCTTAGAACTTACTCAGTTGTTGGGTTAGGGGACACAACTTTCTCCTTTCAACCCAAATTAATCCTACTGCCAGAATGCTTTGGGTTTCAAAGTGGGGAGACTCCCAAAAAGCTCACAGCAGGCTGGACTGGGGAGGGATTAGGGTTGTTGAGAAATGCCTCTCTAGTACTGCTTGTCAGATAAAAATGTTTCTGAATTAAGGATGCTGTCTAGTCACAGTATAGTTATACCAGTAGGAGAGAGGCTGTAGATCTCTGTTAATCTCTCAATTTGTCTATTTGCTTCATATAATTTGGGAAAGGAACAGTTTTTGCTAGTTTTGAAGATGCCAGAGTTAGAATGGCAGATAACCTGAAGTAGCAAGTTTCACAGAGGAGGCAAAAAACTAAAAAGGCCTTTCTTTGTGTGACTACATTCTCAGCCTTTCAGGACCTCTAGTGCCAGGGCATTTGAAGAACCTAATCAGAACCAGCTATAGGAAAGTTTCACACTTGTATGGATTCTCTGAGGAACCTGAAGATCGGATCTGTGCCTCAAGCTCTTGCCACAAATCGGGCATTGATATGGTTCCTTCCCTGGGAAGAGACCTTGATGTTAAAGGAGAAATCAGCTGATCCTTCATGCAGCAGAGTCCTTTGCCATTTCTTACTTTCTTCCCTGTGGGATCGTTCTGAGGTTTTGAACATAGATAAAGCTCTTTCCACACTCTCAGTATTTAAAACATTTCTTCCCGGATAGTGTAAGGTTTCTGTGTAGATTTAAGCTTCTTACAGCAGTTTATATCTTTTCAATGTTCTGTATGGTCTGTGGTTGTTTTTTTAGGTATGAAATAGGAGAAAAGCTCTTTTCACAGCTAAGCAGTTACATTGTTTCTCCTTGTGTGGGTGCCTCATTGCAGTAGAAGAGTGTTACTCTGACTAAATCTCTTTCCAGCTTTTAGCATCCAATAGGTTTCTCCCCTGTGTGGGTTCTTTGGTGCTGGTGAAGATGGCCACTCTCACAGAATCTCTTTCCACACTCTGAGCATTCAAAAGGTTTCTCCCCTGTGTGGGTTCTTCGATGTATTTGAAGATTGCCACTCCTACTAAATCTCTTTCCACACTCTGGGCATTCAAAAGGTTTCTCCCCTGTGTGGGTTCTTTGGTGCAGTTGAAGAGTGCCCCTCTGACTGAATCTCTTTCCACACGCTGAGCATTCAAAAGGTTTCTCCCCTGTGTGGGTTCTTTGGTGCTTATGAAGACTGCCACTCCTACTAAATCTCTTTCCACACTCTGGGCATTCAAAAGGTTTCTCCCCTGTGTGGGTTCTCTGATGTTGTTGAAGAGTGCCACTATGTTTGAATCTCTTTCCACACTCTGAGCATTCAAAAGGTTTCTCCCCTGTGTGGGTTCTTTGGTGCTGTTGAAGATGGCCACTCTCACGGAATCTCTTTCCACACTCTGAGCATTCAAAAGGTTTCTCCCCTGTGTGGGTTCTTCGATGTATTTGAAGACTGCCACTCCAACTAAATCTCTTTCCACACTCTGGGCATTCAAAAGGTTTCTCCCCTGTGTGGGTTCTTCGATGTATTTTAAGAGTGCCACTATGATTGAATCTCTTTCCACACTCTGAGCATTCAAAAGGTTTCTCCCCTGTGTGGGTTCTTCGATGTATTTGAAGATTGCCACTCCTACTAAATCTCTTTCCACACTCTGAGCATTCAAAAGGTTTCTCCCCTGTGTGCGTTCTTCGGTGCTTCTGAAGAGTGCCACTCTCACTGAATCTCTTTCCGCAATCTGAGCATTCAAAAGGTTTCTCCCCTGTGTGGGCTCTCTGGTGTTTTTGAAGATGGCCGCTCTGACTGAATCTCTTTCCACACTCTGAGCATTCAAAAGGTTTCTCCCCTGTGTGCGTTCTTCGGTGCTTCTGAAGAGTGCCACTCTCACTGAATCTCTTTCCGCAATCTGAGCATTCAAAAGGTTTCTCCCCGGTGAGGGTTGTCTGATGCTTGTGAAGAGTCCAACTCTCACAGAATCTCTTTCCACACTCTGAGCATTCAAATGGTTTCTCCCCTGTGTGGAGTCTTCGATGATATTGAAGACTGCTATTCTTACTGAATCTCTTTCCACACTCTGAGCATTCAAAAGGTTTCTCCCCTGTGTGGGTTCTTTGGTGCTTCTGAAGATTACCACTCAGACTGAATCTCTTTCCACACTCCGAGCATTCAAAAGGTTTCTCCCCTGTGTGGGTTCTCTGGTGCAGTTGAAGGTTGCAACTCTGACTGAATCTCTTTCCACACTCTGAGCATTCAAATGGTTTCTCCCCTGTGTGGGTTCTCTGATGCTGTTGAAGACTGCCGCTTCGACTGAATCTCTTTCCACATTCTGAGCATTCAAAAGGTTTCTCCCCTGTGTGGGTTCTCTGATGCTGTTTAAGGTGGGCACCCTGACTGAACCTCTTTCTGCACGCTGAATCTTTGAAAGATTTCTTCCCTGTGTGGGTTGTCAGATGCTTTTCAAGATTCGCACTCACAGTGCATCTCTTTCCACACACTGAATATTCAAAAGGTTTCTCCCCTGTGTGGGTTCTCTGAAGCCATTTAAGATTCCCTCTCACTCTGCATCTCTTTCCACACTCAGAGCATTCAAAAGGTTTCTTGACTCTGTGTATTCTTTGGTGTAGAAAGAGCTGTGATCTGTTTCTGAAGTCCTTTTCACACCGAATGGATTTACTTGCCTTCATTATCATGTGCTTTGGAATATGTACACTATGCTGTCTTCCATCTCTCTTAACAACCACATGATCGCCTTTCTTTCTCATTGGTTTGCCTTGAGTGTTGACATTTTCTTTCAAGCCTTCATTTTTAACTTTATCTGGCATTTGCCGATGAAGTTCCTTGCCCCCTCGATTCCTCTGATCATCCTCTGCTGGAATAAAGAGAGAGATCCTGTTAGCACCTGGGAGGGCTGGTAAGGTCCAAAGACATCTATGTGACTGCAATAGAAAAGCATTTACAGCCCTTTGGCCTCGTCCAGCTTGGCTGATCTTAACCACCCCTCCACCTTTGCCCAGAATATCTAGTGTTTAAGGATTCTTCACCCCCTCAAGTACCACAACTGAGCTCTTGACCACAAGGACCTTCTGATACTCCAGATTTCAGGCCCTTCCTCCTTCCCCAGCGGGCAGCATGACTGTGCAAAATGATGCTGAGAAGGGAATCAGAAATCCCCCATGGCACTTCCTTGCCTTTTCCCGTGACATAGCCATGAAGAATGCTCACTCTCAGCCAGCTCATTTGGGAAGGAAATATGCTCTTGGGATCCTCTTGAGGAAATCCTCACCCTTTCTTTAGATGCAAGGCCGTTGTCTGCCTCCGCTGTAGTCTCTCTTATACTCCTGCCTTCGTTCGCAGTGAGACAGTGATCATTCTTATATGGGGAAGGAAAGGCATTCAAGAGTAAAAATTCTTCTGGAAGGATGAAACTACGGTCAAGATAAAAGCCCACGATCCCAACCAGCATAAGGGGAATAGATCTGTGCGGCAAGGGATTACGTGATTATTAAGTGGCCTGGACTGACTTTCAGGCATTTGCAATTAGAGTCTCCCTGCATTCTTATCTTTTTCAAGGCCATTGGTTAATCATAAGAACCTGGATCCAGTTGTGTAGCCAGGAGGGAGGGGGGATTAGGAGGGTGCTGGCAGCCTCTGGAAAATTCCGTCAGGCAGGACCCTTGATTGGGTCGTTGGGACCACCCTGGAGGCAAAAAGAACAATACCCGTATAGACAAGAGGGAAGCCAGGCTAAATTTATCTTCATACCATGCTAGTATGACTTGATATTTTCTTGCTGCATCACGAATAGTTTTCTGTAAAGTAACTTCAGGTACAGCTGGAATACCTATGCTGCAAAAGAGGTGCCGTCCAATACCACGTATTGCATGTATTCGATAGAACAGTTAGCTCTCCTGTTCTTCTGTTGCCGAGCTGCAGAAACTTTGCTGTTTAATGATTTTTTATTTTTAAATCCTTAACAAACCTTTATGTATTTAAAAAGGGGTCTGCGTTAGTTGTGTGCTCTCTGCTCATGAACCCACTGAATGGGGTGCTGCTGAGGTATAGAGACTAGCGATGGAAAGTTAGTCTCACTGAAACTGATCAAAGGGAACATGGGCTGTGGCAAATAAAATGCAATTCTGTGATCAGCGGGCTAAAAGGGAATATGAGGAGCATATTGCAAAAGCATAAAGACAAACAATAAAACTTTCTTCAAATACATTAGAAGCAGGAAAGCAGCCCGGGAGGCAGTGGGGCCCTTGGATGACAAAGGGGTAAAAGGATTACTGAAGGACGATAAATCACCAGGCCCAGATGGCATACATCCGAGAATTCTGAAAGAACTGAAATGGGAACTTGTGGATCCCCTGACAAAAATATGCCTCCATTCCTGAAGGCTAGATGGTAGCTAATGTCACTCCCATCTTTAAAAAGGGTTCCAGAGAAGGTCCAGGAAATTACAGGCCAGTCAGTCTGACGTCAATACCAGGTAAGTTGGTGGAAACCATTATTAAGGAGAGAATTATTAGGCACAATGATGAACCAAAACTATTGAGGAAGACTTGGCATTGGTTCTGTAAGGGAAGAGCTTGTCTCACTAACTTGTTAGTGTTCTTTGAGGGGGTGAACAAACCTGTGGACAAAGGGGACCCAATAGAGGTTGTTTACCTCGACTTCATAAAGCTTTTGATAAAGTTCCTCATCAAAGGCTCCTAAGTAAGCTTAATAGTCATGGGATAAAAGGACAAGTCCACTTGTGGATCAAAGACTGGCTCAATAATAGGAAAGAGAGAGTGAGTATAAATAGGCAATTTTCTCAGTGGAGGGTGGTAAGCAGTGGGGTACCGCAGGGCTCAGTACTGGGTCCGATGCTTACTAACGTGCTCATTAATGATTTGGAGTTGGGAGTAAGCAACAAAGTGGCTAAATTTGTGGATGCCAATAAATTGTTCATGGTGGTGAGAACCAGGGAGGATAGTGAGGCACTCCAAAGGCATCTTTGAAGGATGGGTGAGTGGGCATTAATGTGGCCAAGTGCAAAGTAAGGCACATTGGGGCCAAAAATCCTAACTATAAATACATGTTGATGGGGTCTGAACTGGCAGAAACTGACCAAGAGAGAGATCTTGGAGTCACAGCAGATAACTCACTGACAATGTTGAGACAGTGTGCAAGTGCAATAAAAAAGGACAACACTATGCAGGGGATTATTAGGAAAAGAACGGAGAACCAATCAGCCAGTATCATAAATCAGCCCCTGTATAAATTGATGATGCAACCTCATTTGAAATACTGTCACCACACCTCAAAAAGGATAGTATAGCAATGTAAAAAATGCAGAAAAGAGCTACTAGAAGATAAAAGGGTTGGAACCTATGAAGAAAGGTTAAAGTGCTTGGGGTTCTTTAGCTTGGAGAAATGACTGAGGGGTGACATGATTGAGGTTTGTAAGATTATACATGGGATAGAGCAGGCAGAGAAAGAGGCACTTTTCTCCCTTTCTCTCAATACAAGAACTCGTGGGCACTCCATGAAATTGCTGAGTGGTCGGGTTAGAACGGATAAAAGGAAGTCCTTCTTCACCCAAAGAGTGATTAACACATGGAACTCACTGCCACAGGAAGTGGTGGCGGCTACAAGGATGGACGGCTTCAAGAGGGAATTAGATAAGCATATGGAGCAGAGGTCCATCAGTGGCTATTAGCCACAAGGTATAGCTAGGGGCTCTCGGTCCGGGGCAAGGGATGCTCTGTCTTCTTGGTGCTTGGGGGGGGGGGTCAACAGTGGGAGGGCTTCTAGTGTCCTGGCCCCACTGCTGGACCTCCTGATGGCACCTGATATTTTTGGCCACTGTGTGAAAGAGGGTTGGACTGGATGGGCCATTGGCCTGATCCAACGCTGGATTCTCTTATGTTCTTATTGACCCGGGGGACCAAGGCTTTGGTTCTTGACAGGATCGTTTTCAGATCACAGGCAGAGTGGATGTCTGGAATCCCATTCAGGGGGAAGGGTGTCTTGTAAAGGTTGGAAACAGAGAAATGAGGAGCTGGCCCCTTCCAGCGTCTTTCTGAGGGCCTCTCATCCCCACCTTTGCCTCAGGCCAGGACACCTCCTCTGGCTTGGGTGATGGCCACAACACTGGCCTCTGTTGCCCCTGGGCAAGAACACACACAGGAACACAGGAACCTGCCTCATACTGAATCAGACCCGTGGGCCACTGAAGTAAGTGTTGCCAACTCAGTCCGGTGGCACCTCTCCAGGGTCTCAGGCAGAAGTCTTTCACATCACCTCCTACCTGATTCTTTTTACTGGAAATGGTGGGGATTGAACCAAGGACCTTCTGCATGCCAAGCAGATGCTCTGCCAGGGAGCCAGGGGTCCCCCCCCCCCAAAGTAGCGAGACGGCCCTCAAAACTGTGAATAGCTATTCAATATTTTGATTCATGCCCCCTCACAATGGCAGCAATTCACACTTTTGGCACCAAGGAAAACTCCTTACCCAGAAAGGCCACATTCTCATAGTTCTCCAGCATGACTTCCCAGTAGAGAGCTCTTTGGCCCGGATCCAGTAGGGCCCACTCTGCCTCGGTGAAATCGATGGACACCTCCTCAAAGGAAAAGGGACCCTGAAAGGAAAAGCAGAATCCTTCATCAGAGATCACGCCAGGCAGAGATTGCACCCTGGAAGAGAGTAGACTGGGAAGGTACAGGATGTCAGGTTTGGGATGGGTAAAGGGAACAGCGTTCAGAGGATCTCTTGCCCAGTCACCTTGTAGAAAATGCAGGAGCGACTGCTCCCCTGAGAAAGGAAGAGGGACCCGGGGTGTCCCCCCCACTCATCTCATTGTGGCAGGAAAACCAGCGAACCTGGGGGCATTTCTGAATAACAGCCGGGATTAGCTGAGGCCTCTCTGTTTGGGTCCTCTCCCATAAGGCTTTGCAGGCTTAGCGACTGTCATCTCACAAGCCTCTGCCTAGCCTGACAAGACACTCTGCTCCAAAAAGAATAGTTTCCATTTCTCTAGGTCTATCCTTTCACCCTCATACTGTGTCAAAGACTCCTAGTGAGAAGCTTCTGACCAGCAACACACTTGCTGAATCAGCTGTCTGTGCTTCCCATAAGGTCACAATAAAGTTTATACATAACATCCTTGAAAGTCTAGGGTAACTTGGGTATGAGTTCAAGGTGAAAATTGTTCTTTTTTATTTATTTTTTTTGCTGAAGGTGTGTCAGTCCATGTGGGCTGAACTTGTGGGTACTGAGGGTATCAATGATTGAACATGTCTTTACTCTGGGCTGGTCTTCAATCAGCTGCCTGTGAGCTCTTGTTGACTAGACCAGAACACTCTGTATTTCTTACTAGGGCACTATGTTTGTGTTTGTTTTTATTAATTTAATTTTTATTCCTTTTTTCTCATTATTTTTACAGCAACACTTGGCACTTAAAAGAGTCATAGGCATGAACATAAACGTTTTCAACACGCCAATCCACAAAAGTTAAGATAGTTACTACGAATGTTCCAAAATATGCATACATTAAAGTACCTCTTTAGAGTACAGAATATAACAGAGGAAAGGATTAATTAGAAAAATTAATTAGAAAAACAATAAGTTCCTATATAATGGATTTTTTGGAATACTCACTATTTTCTAAGTAACTAATCATAAGAAACCACACCGCCTTTTTATATTTTTCTGACTGTAAAGCTGTAGAGTTGTATGAGGTGCACCCATAAATAAAGCATTCCCAAACTAACTTGCTGGCAAAAAATTTTTGGGTATGTTTGTGTTGAAGTATTCTCTGCTGAATATGGAAATGCTATGTTTTCATCCTAAAAGAAAGAATTACTGTACATGTTCATACTTATTGAAAACACATTAGTAAGTCATGCTGGTTTCTACTTGATTTTAATAGGTGAACTTCATCCGAAGACAGAAGCCCAAAACGATGCCAAGGATGTTTAAAGATAGAACGTTTCGACTGAACGTCTTTTTCAACCATCCTAACAAAAGGAAGGGAATAAAGTTTTTTACAAAAACCGGAATTGTTTAGGACAATTTTACAATGTAACAATAAATTTTATGGTATACATACAGTTTGTAGTATTATTCTTTACTTCATGTTTCCATGCAAGGTACAAAAATTCTAAAGACAGAAATCACATTATTCATTTTAAAGCTCACATGTATGTTTAAAGCATGCCCTTAAACCTTATTTTTAAATAATAATAATACTCCTTTAAATCTTACCTATAACTGGCTGAGAGCAGCTCTCACAAGATTAACAACATTTTATTCGGATAGCAAATCTTAAATATACAACTCTAAATGGGTTCCTTATATTTTTCTATTCAAGTCACATGATGTTAGATCCCAAGAAGCCACCTTACCAACAAGCCAAAAGTGCTTAAACATTTTTCAACTGTTAATTATGTTCATTTTAACCATACAAATATGCCTATTATTATTAAAGAATCACCAAAAGGATCACAAAGACGGACTTGAATAGAAAAATATAAGGAACCCATTTAGAGTTGTATATTTAAGATTTGCTATCCGAATAAAATGTTGTTAATCTTGTGAGAGCTGCTCTCAGCCAGTTATAGGTAAGATTTAAAGGAGTATTATTATTATTTAAAAATAAGGTTTAAGGGCATGCTTTAAACATACATGTGAGCTTTAAAATGAATAATGTGATTTCTGTCTTTAGAATTTTTGTACCTTGCATGGAAACATGAAGTAAAGAATAATACTACAAACTGTATGTATACCATAAAATTTATTGTTACATTGTAAAATTGTCCTAAACAATTCCGGTTTTTGTAAAAAACTTTATTCCCTTCCTTTTGTTAGGATGGTTGAAAAAGACGTTCAGTCGAAACGTTCTATCTTTAAACATCCTTGGCATCGTTTTGGGCTTCTGTCTTCGGATGAAGTTCACCTATTAAAATCAAGTAGAAACCAGCATGACTTACTAATGTGTTTTCAATAAGTATGAACATGTACAGTAATTCTTTCATGTATTGTTGACTTTACAAAATTACTGGGTCCATTTGTGATATTTTATTTCATCCTAAAAGAGACATAAGTGGTAAAGTGCTTTCGGTCCTGAGGAAGCGTATAACTTAGTTTTATTTGAGAACTACGGTCTCTCTCTTTATTCAGTCACCCCTGAATGGGAAATAGCCCCGGGGTCCTATAATAACATCACACTAACCTCTCCTACCTGGACTGGAGGGGCAGCAGCCGTTTCCACACCTCCGGAAAGACGTCGGCTCACCAGCATCTCTTCACTGCCTGTTCCTGAGACAAAGGAGGAAGGAAAGGCAAGGTTCATTTTGTAGAAAAAGAGGTGCAGGAGCTCATCAGCATAACTTATTTGCATACACCACACCCCCTGACCTCACCGGAAGTGTGTCAGAAGGCAACACCCATTGCTCAGGCTCCACTGGACTGTTTTGGATTGCTAGCTATTGGGGGGGTGGGAACGTGCAGATCTGTCCTCGCAGAGGAGGGAGGGCTTGTACCTGAATAAGACTTGGTCTTAAAGATGCCACTGGACTGTTTGGGATCAGGGGGCCGGGGAGGGGGGTTCTGCAGCTTACCTGGCTGCTTCTTGTTCTGACTGAGGGCTGCTGGGAGCAGGGGGTGGGGCTTGTTGCATGTTCCCGCCCCCTGGGCTCTTTACTGCCGGAGCTCCGCTCCTGTGCGCTCCTGCAGGAAATGACCCCTGAGGAAAGGTATTTGCTTGTTTGTTCCCTGCTTCACAGGTCCCCTTCCCAGGGTTGGGACACCTCGCCACGCGTACACGCAACATATTTTTAAACGCCTCTTACTGAATTCTGGGAGAGGCAGAAGAGAAGCACACGGCACCCATGATCTTTCAATGATTATAAACGCAGCCAAACGTATTTCAGACTTCTGTGAGGCTTGTGTTTGCTCCGCGGGGAGGGAAAGACGTGCAACACGTCGCTGTCCCATTCGGACCAGATGTGACTGGAGCGCATCTGGAGACACGAGGGTCACATGAGTGAGTCTCCAGAGTGTCTCTTGGCGTGCTCACTTCCCGACCAGGTTTCCAGCCAGACCCAACATCAACATGACATCACATCTGTCCCAAGCCCCTCCCCAAAGCTCCCTCCCCATAGCCCGCCATCCCTTCCCCAGCATCTTGTTTCCCACAGCGGCCTGCCAGGCACAGAAGCCAAATTTCCCCGATATTTCTGGACCCTAGAAACTACTTTTCAGAGCTCTGCTGCCCCAGAAGGTGGAGGCTCCCTCTGTTCAGCAGACTGAATAGTTGTTGCAAAGGTTTGTCTACCCCTCGACCCTGGAAACTTGATTTCTTTTTATGGAAGGAAGGTGAGGCATGATTTTTTTTTAATTACTGGGAGAAATTGCCCTCCAGGAATGTGTCTAATCTCCTTTCAGAGGCACCAGAGTTAGTGGACGTTGAGAATCACAAATTAACTCTTTGTTCGGTGCAGAACTACTTATTTTATCCTGACCTGAACTCTCACGGGGTGCCCCACCTGCATCCAGGCACAATGGGTCCTTAAAAAAGGAGAGGGGATCTTGGGCACGCTCTGTGGTCTGTGCCATCTGCTCTTGCTCCAAGGAAGCTTCTTCCGCCTCAGGGAATGTAGTTTCTTTCTTCTCGGATGGTGCCCACATCTGAAACAGCAGCAAGGGAGAGGGGTAAGAGATGGAATGGAAAAGAGGCCAAGGAACGGATCCTGCCCCACCCCCAGACTCTGCAACCTTCTATTGGCAGACCTGGTGAGTTATCTGGAGGGATCAGAAATTCTCTAATAGAAGAAGCTGTTGAAGGAGGCTATGAAATCTCTCATTTGGATGATTAAGACTTTGACAGATGTCTGGCAGGGAACCTTTTAGGATAAGGCCCAGTATAGTTGCTTGAATTGGACACACCTGGAGGAAACCCCCTCACCTGCTCTGCCTGCCTCTTCTCCTCTGCCTGACTCAGGAGGAAGCCTTCGGCCAGGGCCACCGCCTGGGAACTGGTCTCCGGCCCACATCCTCTGACCCAGCACTGCATTTCCTGGGCAGGAGAGTCAGGAACTGCTCCAGGATCACCAGGTCCAGGATCTGCTTCTTGGTGTGCCTCTCCGGCTCCAGCCAGTGGCTGCAAAGTCCATGGAGCCGGCTGCAGACCTCTCGGGGCCCATCAACCTCACGATAGCGGAAAAGTCGGAAGCGTCGGCTACGTACATCTGAGGTTGTGGTGTCCTTAGCCAGGGTCTCTGCCCCCCCCAGCTCTTTCCCAGAATTCAGCACCACCTCCAGGTTGGATGGTATGGGGGCTTTTCCTTGCTCTCTTGCCAGTTCCAGGTCCTGCTCTTCCATCTCCTGACCCTTCTCTTGGGTCACGTCTATCTGAGCAAACATGCCTTTATTCACTTTGCTAAGATGGGGAGTTTCTCCCCGAAGGGACAGAGAGAGACAGAGAGCAGTGTGTGAAAAGGAAAAACTGAAAAGGATGGAAACACACTAGTAAAGGTAAAGGTTCCCTTGCTCGAAAGCCAGTCGAATCTGACTCTAGGGTCCGGTGCTCATCTCCGTTTCCAAGCCAAAAAGCCAGCACTGTCCGAAGAAGTTTCCGTGGTCATGTGGCTGGCATGACTAAACACCAAGGTGCACAGAACGCTGTTACCTTCCCACCGAAGTGGTACCTATTTATCTACTTGCAATGTCTTGCTTTCGAACTGCTAGGTTGGCAGGAGCTGGAACTAGAGATGGGAGCTCACTCCGTCATGTGGCAACCCAGGTCTCGAACTGCTGAACTACTGACCTTCCACAGCCTGCAGTTCAGCATCTTAACCACTTGAGCCACCGCAGCTCCATAACACACTACTGAACGTCAGAAACCTTCATCGTGAGAATGGCCCTGGGGGATGAGAGGAGAAGTGTCTCTGGCTCTCTGAGGATGTTGCAAACGTAGCCTCTCATCCCATTTGGTTCCGTCAGTCCTCGGGGCTCGTGCTTAAGGTAGCCCCCCAAAAGACAAGAGGGACTGGTGGCCCCTTTACCATTTTATGCATCCCTTCGGCAGGCCTGGGGGATTCAGCAAGAACTCTGTCCGAGCACCTGGCCGAGGGAAGGGTGAGGAATGTGTCCGTGGGAAGAGCCAGGGGTTGAACTAGACGGCCTGTCTGGCCCCTTCCCGCTCTGTGACTTTCTATGATTCCATGATCTGAAGAACAAGCAGCTGAGATCAAGAAAGAAAGGCAGACAGGCTCTGGAATGAGATCTGGCTGAAAAAAAACAGGCACAGAGACGCTCCCTCTGGGCAGCTGACGCGGCGTAGTGGGCCTGCAACTCTGGGGGGGGGGGTTTCCTCTGGCTTCCACCCCTGCTCAGCTCTGCCAGGATACTGGGCATGAAGGAAAACAACAGCAAGAAACCAGAAGGCTCCAGAGCTTGAGTCTGAGAAAACAATAGGGACTAGGCTCCTAGTCCCTTCACCAGGGAACCAATGGGCACCGTGGCGGGAAATTCAAACCCACCAATGGGGTCCAGGGGTGTGTCCCTGGAGTGTATATAGTTGGCCTGTCGGCCGTTAGTTCTTATCCTTGTTGTGTACCAATAAAGCGTGCTATGCATTACATCGTTGTCTGTCGTCCATCCATGGCAACCCGCTACATAACACTGAGTTAGTGTGAGCTAGCTCCCTCTCCTTCACGCACTTTTTGCCTTGGCTCAGGAAGGAGGGTTCCAGAGCACACCAATTTCTGCAGCCGCCAAATGGCTCGCTCGCAACTTTCATACCAGTAGCCGATGTTCCCTCTAAGCTGCGGAGTCTTGTGAGCAAAAATTCTCCTTTGTGAGCTGCTGGCATTAAAGTTGTGAGCGAGCGATTTGGCCGCTGCATCAATTAGCTTGCTCTGGAGCCCCATCCTTCCTGAGCTAAGACAAAAATGTGTGAGCTGGAGGCTAAAATTCTGTGAGCTAGCTCACACTAACTCAGCTTAGAGGGAACACTGCCAGTAGCTCACAAACAGCGTTCCCTCTAAGCTGAGTTCGTGTGAGCTAGCTCAGAGTTTTTTAGCCCAGGGCTCACACATTTTTGTCGTAGCTCAGGAAGGAGGGCTCCAGAGCAAACTAATGTATGCAGTCGCCAAATCGCTCACTTACAACTTTGATGCCAGGAGCTCAGAAAGCAGAATTTCTGCTCACAAGACTCCACAACTTAGAGGGAACATTGCTCACAAAGTAGGATTTGTGGCTCGCAAAACTTCACAGCTCAGGGGGAACATCGCTCACAAGACCCCGCAGCTTAGAGGGCGCATCGCGCGCGCGCCCAATTGCATGATTTTTCCAGCTCACCCGATCCTACCCTCCGGGGCTGCTGCAGGTAGTCCAAGACCCCCCTTCTCCGCTGGGAAGGGGCGGAGGGAGAGAGATTGCACCGCCGCCGCCCTTCTCTCTAGGAGCGCAGACTCGTCGTCCCCTGGATCCCTCCTTTGCAAGGCGCCAGGCCGGCCTCCGGGCCGACGCACCTTCCGGGCGGACTCCCCCCACCGCCCCGCGTCCAGCGCCAGCCCTGCAGGTCCCCCGTTTGCAGAAGCTGCTGGCCTTGGGTGCTCGCTGCAAAGTCAAGGAGGTGGAAAGGCATCGAGGGGAGGGGAGGAATCGAGTAAGTCAGCAAAGGGGGAGGAGGAAAGTGCTGCTGGCGCCCGGAAGGGCTGGGCTTGGAGGAGGGGGACTGGTGTGATCTTGGGTCAGTCACAAGTTCTCTCAGAGCTGTTCTCTCAAGGGCAGTCTTCAAAGGAGCTCTCTCGGCCCCACCTCCCTCACAGGGTGTCTGTTGTGGGGAGGGGAGGGGAAGGGAAAGGAGATGGTAAGCTGCTCTGAGACTTCGAGTGAAGAGCGTGGTATAAATCCAATCTCTTCTTCTCCGATGGGAAGACCTCCTTGCAATACCAGCAAGGTTCCCCCTAAGCTGAGTTAGTGTGAGCCGGCTCACAGTTTTTTAGCCTCCGGCTCACACATTTTTGTCTTAGCTCAGGAAGGGAGGGCTACAGAGCAAAACTAATTTATGCAGCAGCCAAGTTGCTTGCTCACAACTTGAATGCCAGTGGCTCAAAAAGTAGGATTTCTGCTCACAAAACTCCACAGCTTAGAGGGACCATTGGGCCCACGACCCCGGAGGGGGTGTGTGTGTGGGTGGGTGTCTCCGTCGCTCCTCTCTGCAGAGCCCGGAGGGTCCCTGCAGCACTTTCCTCGGGGCGGAGAGCGCAGACGCCTTCCCTGTGCCTGTGGATGCGAGGCACTGAACTGGCGTTCCTCTCCGGGATTGGGGAGGGAAGGGGGTCCTTCCAGTTTGGCTTAGTGGTTAAGGAAGGTAAAGGTTCCCTTGCTCCAAAGCCAGTCGCATCCGACTTTAGGGTTGCGGTGCTCATCTCCGTTTCCAAGCCGAAGAGCCAGCGCTGTCTGAAGACGTTTTCCGTGGTCATGTGGCCGGCATGACTAAACACCAAGGCGCACTGAACGCTGTTACCTTCCCACCGAAGTGGTCCCTATTTATCTACTTGCAATTTCTTGCTTTCCAGCTGCTAGGTTGGCAGGAGCTGGAACTAGAGACGGGAGCTCACTCTGTCATGCGGCACGGGTCTTGAACTGCTGAACTACTGACCTTCCACAGCCTGCAGCTCAGCATCTTGATGGTTAAGTGCGGGGACTCTAATCTGGGAGAACCGGGTTTGATTCTCCACTACTCCACTTGCAGCTGCTGGATGACCTTTGGCAAGCCATAGTTCTGACAAGAGCTGCTCTTGAAAAAGAGCAGTTTGTGTCAGAGTTCTCTCGGCCCCACCCACCACACAGGGTGTCTGTTGTGGGGAGGGGAAGGGAAAGGAGATTGTAGGCCGCTCTTCTATGTCTCCTGAGCGCATGAACGTTTATAATCTTCAGCGATGTATCTCCATTCTCTTTTATTTACCATGTGACTATCTGTGTGTCTCCTGCCCTCCACAGAGAAGCCTCCCTTCATAGCCAAGTTACTGAAGGCATCTTTACCCAGTCAGAGGTAACAGGAGAGAAGGGGAAAGAGATGGAAGAGCAGGACCCAGGAGGACCTGGAACTGGCGAGACAGCAGTGAAAGGCCCCCATCCCACCCAGGCTGTGACTGGTGCTGAATTCTGGGAAAGCCCGGTGCCAGATATCCATCATCAGCTCACTGCAATCTTAGATGTCCATTGCCAGCGCTTCCGGCTTTTCCGCTATCATGAGGTCGATGGGCCCCGAGAGGTCTGCAGCAAGCTCCACGGACTTTGCAGCCACTGGCTGAAGCCAGAGAGGCACTCCAAGAAGCAGATGCTGGACCTGGTGATCCTGGAGCGGTTCCTGACAGTTCTGCCCCAGGAAATGCAGGGCTGGGTCAGAGGATGTGGGCCGGAGACCAGTTCCCAGGCGGTGGCCCTGGCCGAAGGCTTCCTCCTGAGTCAGGCAGAGGAGAAGTGGCAGGCAGAACAGGTGAGGGGGTTTCCTCCAGGTGTGTCCAATTCAACGATACTGGGCCTTATCCTAAAAGGTTCCCTGCCAGACATCTATCCAAGTCTTAATCATCCAAATGGGAGAAAATTAACGGCCTCCTTAAATGCCTCTTCTACTAGGGAATTTCTAATTCCTCCAGGTAACTCTCCAGGTCTGCCGATGGAAGGGCGCAGAGTCTGGGAGTGGGGCAGGATCCATTCCTTGGTCTCTTTTCCATCCCATCTCTTACCCCTCTCCCTTGCTGCTGTTTCAGATGTGGGCACCATCCGAGAAGAAAGAAACTACATTCCCTGAGGCGGAAGAAGCTTCCTTGGAGCAAGGGCCAAGGGCGCAGGCGGTGGAGCGTGCCCAAGATGCTCTCTCCTGTGGTAAGGACTCGTGCCTGGATACGATTGGGGCACATTGTGAATTTGATGGGTAGAGAGTTCAGGTCGGGAAAACCAAAATTAATACTTCTTCACACAACGCAGTGTTAATTTGCGGCACTCAACGCCCACTAACTGTGATGCCGCTAAAAGGAGATTAGACAAATTCATGGAGGGCAATTCCTCCCCATAGTTTAAATGTTAACATCTCACCTTCCTTCCATAAGAGGAACTCAAGGTGGCTCAAAAGAGAAAAGGTAGACAAACTTTGGCAGACCTCTTCGGCCTGGTGAATAAACGGCACCTCCACCTTTTGGGGATGCAGAGCTCTGAAAAGCCAGTTCCTAGGTGC